AAGGATACAGGACCCCTTGAAGGTCAACTTGGGATGTCCACAAGTCAAGTCCAAGATCGGAAGCACAAAATCCAAACAACAAGCAGGGAAGAGTGAGCTCTTGAGGTCTCATCTGGTGCTTGTTTCATCATCCTTTCACAGTTCAGTGTCTCAGACCTGCAATACTTTCCACGTTCCAGAGGCAGAGATATGGTTAACTCTTCACTAGCCTGTTCTGATGTACTTGCTTCAGCTTGCTCTTGTGGTGGCCATAAGGAGAAAAATAAAATAATTATAATTTAAAATGAAAATAATGAGTAGTAAGGCTTACCTGTCCGTTCTTGAGGGTGGGAAGTAGAGATTTTGGTAGAAGAGAAATTTAACAGATGGCTTAGAAAACTTTTAGGCTGGCTCTATCTTAAGTCAATATTTGAAGGAGCCAAGGCTAAAGGCTGAAGGCTGAGGTAGGAAACTTGGCTCATGAGTTAAATCGATATTATTGATTCGAAAACTAACATCTAAAGGTCATGTAGTAGTAGCGCCACCTCCTGTCTGGTTGATGAAAATAGCAGGTAATTTCATACCCCTTTTTAAATGATCAACTGAGGAAAATAATGTATTGTGAAAGTAATTACAGGAGAATTAATAAGGGAAATGCATGCTTCGAATAAATTAAAGATACATATATGAAGACATATGTATAAAGAGAAATATATGAAGTTATGATTCATTCTAAAGATTATGTAAGTCATCTGGGAAAGTGGCTGGTCAGCTGATGAAAGGGGAGCAGTGGAAATTATAGTATCTTGCCAACAATTGTTCTTGGCCTCGGTTCCTTGAGGACAAATTGATATTGATTAGATTGTGTAAATGTCAAGACCCATATGCGCATGTGTAAACCTGAGAATTTATGCTATAAATGCTGGAGCAAATCTGACTTCCAATGTGTGTCAGATATTGTTTTCTGAACACCCTGTCAAGCTTGATAGAATTAAAAGCCTGGAATCAGTTGCTGTCTCCTTTCTCTTCCTTCCTGATTGTGCTCATCTGATCTCGGGTAACGAATCTTCCGCAACAAATGGGGGCTCTGTCCGGGACCTGAGTCAACAGTGAAGGAACAGAAACGAAGCCTCTTGAGGGCTTGATTGCCTCCACTCAGCGGGTCAGGTAAGACGACGATCAGAAGGGACGAAAAACGGGTGCCCACTGGAAAAACGGCCCGGCTGATCCTCGCCTTCCCTGCCTTCGGACTGGGGTACATTGAGAACTAACAGCTTTGATTCCAAGGCATAGGTAAAGGAAAAAGGCTAGCCTTAAAGGAATGGGAAAAGGTACATGAGAAGTACCTGGGGAATCTTTCACTGAGATTACTGCAGAAATCAAGTGAAAACCCCTCGAGTGACGTTTTCGCACAGAAATCGCACTCACAGGTTAAAGGAATACACTTTCAGGGGAAAGTGATAAGTTTGTTTTGTGATTGTGTGTGTATTTTGGTTTATGAAATACTGTGTTGTTGCTTCTTTGCTTCTGTATTTTTCCATTCTTTATGCTTTCTGTGCTTACTTCTTTGTTTTAAAGAAAAAAAAGAAAAAAAATAGAAAATGGGTGGTGTACCAAGTAAAAAGTCTTTAACTCCTCTTGAATGCATGATGGAAAATTTCTCAAAATTTAGGGAGTTAACTCAAACACCAGGATGCAATAGCCCCCAGAAATTGAGATCTCTTTGTGAACTAGACTGGGTGCAATTTAATACAGGGTGGCCAAGTGAAGGAAGTTATGATTTAAAAGATATCAGAACAATTGTGAGAATAGCAGCAGAGGTTCATCCGGATCAATTTCCATATGCAGAGGCATGGGAAAATGCTATAACAACACAGCCTGCATGGCTAAAGAAATGTCAGAACAAAGAATGTGATGTTTTTGTAGCTCAAACTAATTTGAAAAAGCCTCAGGCAAATAAGAAGAAGAAAAGATTTGGAATTTTTCCTTGTCCTGAGGAAGAAGTAAGTAACCCTCCTCCTTATGTTCCTATGTACCCACAGTTAAAAACCATTGACAATGAAAGGTCAACCCTGGCTCCTCAGTCAACTTCTTTAACCACGCCAATATCTTCTGATACCTCTCCTGGGGAATCTACAAAGTCACCTTTAATAGATTTATCATCTGCAAGCAGATGGCTTCAGAATATAACAGAAGAATTTTTGCGAGATAGTCCCATAGCTGGAAGAACTAGAAGCCATAGTAATCCCAACCCAAAGATTACTTTTCAATTACCTTTGAGAACAATGGTCCAATATGTACAAGAGATAGATAACAAAGGAGAATTAACCCTGACTCCGAAAACCACTTACCAGCATGTGCCTTTTACCACTTCAGATTTGTTAAATTGGAAGTCTAATAATCCTCCTTATACTGAAAACCCTCAGCCACTTATAAATTTGTGTGAAACAATAATGGCTAGCCACCAGCCAGATTGGTCAGATTGCCAACAGCTATTACAGGCTCTCTTCACATCTGAAGAGCGAAGAAGAATCCTTAATCAAGGAACCCAAATAGCACAGACATATGCTGCCGAGAAAACAAGTTATAATCCCACTGAATGGGCTGCAGGGGCATTTCCTTTGACAAATCCAAACTGGGATCCTAATATAAGCCGAGAGATGGAATATATAGTCAGATACAGGGAATTTTTAATGGAAGCTTTGAAGAAGGGACCTCAAAAGGTGATCAACCTTAAGAAGATACAGGAAGTAATACAAGGAAAAGATGAAAGTCCAGGTGCTTATTTAGAGAGATTATTGGAAGCTTACCGAAAGTATAGTCCCTAT